GCCTAGAGTAGAGATTCTATCCTGTGAGTGGTAGCTGGGGAGAAGAAGGGAGCCTTGGAATTTTCTTCCTGGAATATAGATTTTGCAACAGAGAGCTGAGGAGAATAAGAAATGCAGATGGCCAGCTCCTTCTGGAGAGAAACCATATACCTTTATATCGGAAGCTGGGAAAAGATGAATCCCTGTGTTATTGGTTACACCCACCTAAAAAAGAGTCTCCATTTCACTGAGCTGGGAGAAATGAAGAAGAAAACATTTTCATGGCTCAAATGTCACAAACTCTTAGTTTTCTTACTAAGATTTAGTATATTTTCTTGAAAGAATGCTTTTCCATTTGCTATGAGATTTTCAGAGACATTAATTTTTTTATCATTTTCACTAGTTATGGTTGTTTCACTGTCAGATACAGTCCACACAGACCATTATGCCACATGCTTTTACAAGTAACTTCTTTATAGAATGAATGCACTTAGGACTGTTTTAAGGATGAAAATAACAATGAATTCCCTTCTGGTTCCAACACTTTAGACAAATTATTTAACTTGAGCTTTTCTTCATTTATAATATAGGCACTTTATGTACATCTCAGATTGTGGTGAGAATTAAAAGATGACTGAGACCAGGCATGCTGGCTCATGTCTGTGGTTCTAGCACTCTGGGAGGCCAAGGTGGGAGGATCACTTGAGTTCAGGAGTTTGAGACCAGCCTAAGCAAGAGTGAGATCCTGTCTCTACTAAAAATAGAAAAATTAGCCCAGCATTGTTGCAGGGCCCTGCAGTCCCAGTTACTTGGGAGGCTGAGGCAGGAAGATCATTTGAATCCAGGAGTTTGAAGTTGCTATGAGATAGGCTTATGCCTTGGCATGCTAGCCTGGGAGTGAAACTCTGTTTCAATAATAATAATAAAAAGATTATTGAAATGGTATATATAAATCACCTAGCTCAGAAGTTGACTCATAGTAATCACTTGATAAATTTCCCTTCTCTGCCCTTCAAGCATATGACTATCTCACTCAAGCTAAATAGCTATATATTTATACTAGTGCAGTGTCTGGTATATGGTATGTGTACAATAAATATTAAACTGGATTGAAGGAAGGATGGATGGATGGATGGAAGGATGGATATCTGGTAAGAGTGATTTTTAGGTGTCCATTACTGATTTACCAAAATAAAAAATTATCAGCTTCTGTTCATGCTTTAATGGTACAGCCTGAACAAATTAATTAGAACTGATGCTGGCTATCAGAAGTGGCTACATAATTAGTAGGACATAGTAGTGAAGAATGAAAAATGAGCATCTTTTTAAAAAATTACTAAAAATTTCAAGATGGCAACAGCGGATCATTAAACCATGTTTGGGTCCCTTCCAAGCATGAGGTCCTGTGCAATGGCACTGGCACACACCAATGAAGCCATCCTTGCTCACTTTAGCCCTAGGGTAGAGTTCAGAGGGACTCCTACAGTGATAGGTGTTGCTTATGCCTTAATTGCTGGATCTTGGAAGATCCTAGAGGGAGACATCCAAAGGAAGGGGCTGGGGCAGTGCCCAACAGCAGAAGACAAGTGGGCAAAAAGGGGTACTGTGTGCCAAGCATTTGGGAAATATGCAATACCTTAAAACTCCATCATAATGCAAAAAGAAAAAAATGGGAATTCAAAAATTTCATGTTAGCCAGGCACAGTAGTGCATACCTGTAGTCCCATCTACTTGAGAGGCTGAGATGGGAAGATGGCTTGAGCCCAGGAGCCTGAGCCTAGCCTGGGCAACAGAGGAGAGACTCTCATCTCTAAAAATAAAAAAGAATATTCAATTCTATAAAAATTGGGTTCACATTATTGTAAGATTAATATATTTGCACAACTAATAGGTCAGAAGTTCCAGGCATCTTCTTGCAAGGTACAACTCCATCCAGATGTGGTGTTGCTTGATTTTCATAGCCACTTTATTGGAGCAGTTCTGATTGGGGCTTCCATTTATGGTGACAATTGCAAAAAATCCTTTGATTAGTAGGGCTTGTTATGCATTGTCTAATTGGAATAGTAGATCTCGAAGACCCACCCTGTCTCCAAAGGATGAGGTTAACTACCATTTCCCTGCCTCATCTTGATCGCTCTCTTCCCCATTCCTCCTTTCTTCCCAGTAACCTTGAACACACAATAGCAACTCCAGCAAGACCTGGCTTGACAGCAGTTGCCTCTTCATTCATATTATCACAAGAGTTTTAATTCTTAACAAGGACTGCTTAGGGAAATGGTGGTATATCCTATCATTGATTACAAGTGATAGGAAAGAATGGTATTATGGTTTACACCTCACTCAGTTTTAGCTCTTTTTCCTTTTAGATTTGATACGTGGCAACGATAGTTACAGCTGTAGTTACCCTACCCATGAGCTTACCTCTCTATTATATTATTTTAGCATTTTACATTCTCAAATATGACTATAAGTCAGTGCCTTTCAAGTTGAATGTGCAAAAGAATCACCTAGGGATGTTCTTTAAATGCAGATTGCTGAGTAGGTTTGTTTTGAAGCATTTCCAAGAATCTCCCAGGTGATGGCCACTCTCTTCTGAATAGTATTAAGTAGACATTAATCCAAAATAAAATTGGCTTTTGATTGTAATCTACAATCTTAATTGTAGCCCATTATTCCCCAAGTTTAAAAGCAACTGTCTCCACCTAGGTTGCCACATTCACTAACGGTTGGATATACTTTATTTTTTTCTGAGACAGAGTCTCAAGCTGTCACCCTGGGTAGAGTACCGTGGCGTCACAGCTCACAGCAACCTCAAACTCTAAGCTTACATGATCCTCTTGCCTCAGCCTCCCAGTAGCTGGGACTACAGGCACCCACCACAACGCCCAGCTATTTTTTGGTTGTAGTTGTCATTGGTGTTTGGTGGGCCCAGGCTGGATTCGAACCTGCCAGCTCTAGTGTATATAGCTGGTGCCCTAGCTGCTTGAGCTACAGGCGCCAAGCCAAGATATACTTTTTAAAAGCTTCTTACTAATTTCAGAGGTTTGTGCCTTTTGGTCCTTGAACTGGAAAAAATAAATCACACCATCAGAAAGTAGCCTGCCAACTAGTATAGGAAACTCCCACGCTTTTAGTGTGTAGTTTGTGACTTCTGAATTGTTCGAATATGACCTCTAGTTATTTCATTTTTCTCAGCCTTCTCTCACTCTTTTTTCCTTCATGAAATGCTAAGGACACGTTTAGGTCTATGAATGGACAGTAGAACTTCCATAGTTGACCACTTCCCTACATTAACCACATCCTTAAGTTGACCCTATTTAGGATGTATGAGGCTAGGCTCATAGACAATACATGCACCACATGTACTCAGTGGAAGTTCCTTATGTTGACCAACTTCATATGTTGACCAGCTGTCCAGTTTGTTACAGTCCCTTGGGTGGTATATTTAAAACTTCTTTTTTTTTTTTTTTTTTTTTCCCCCCATAGATAAAGTTCCAGAAAATTTGAGTATCACACATGAAAAAAAAAAAAAATCACACTAACCACATTCTGCCCATCAAGTAAAAATGGGGAACAGGAGATGGAAACAAGTGTTGCAGGGGGAAAGAAAATTGGAGGTTGGAAGAAGTACTGGGTCAGGAGTGTGTGTTTTACGCTCTCACTGGAGTTTAAGATACACGTCACTAGTCATGTCTAATTTAGTCTAAAAGGAAGAGAGATGTGTTTGTCCATAGGTCAGAAGTGTGAAGATGA